TGGGGGGTGAGGAGGTCGGGGTGGAAAGAGAGTTGGTGTCGATAACTTGGATCACGACACGGTGTTGGACCATGTGAAGTTATTGGTATCGTTTGTATTGCTTTTGATGAAAGAAGTATCCAGATTTCTATCTGTCGTCTTAAATGCAAGCAGAGATATTAGCGGTTGAATGGTGTTGGTGGTTTCCTGGCGTCAGAGTTAGGTAGCTGAGATTATTGTCGTCAATATTTGGTGACTTCTTAAGTCTTTAGTGTCCTTGGAAACGGTAAATTTACATTTTTGCTGTGCCATTGATCATCGGTAAAACCCACACATAAATGTTTTTTTAAAAAAATGGAAATAAAGGGTGTTTAGAAAAGAGTAAATAAAATACTAATCTTTTGAACCCATGGAAATTGCAAAATTATCGAAATATTGTCGATTTGTTTGAATTCATCATTTTGACGAAAGCCTGATTTGAACAGGACTGTTCACATGGTATGATTCTAGTAACTCCCCGTTGACATTAAACCCGCTCAATGCACCACCTTGTTTTGTCACAGACGCAGTGTTCCCGGAAGTTGCGCATGGGCAAAATCGGAGACGGCGGCTGGGAGATCTGTGACGACGTGGATGTGAGGCCCAGGCACCCCTGCATCGTCTACTCGTTCGGGATTAACAACGACTTCAGTTTTGACGACAACACTGCTAAATATTACGGGTGTCACGTCTACTCTTTTGACCCCAGCATGAAACAGGAATCCCACAACAGGTACACTAAATGTCTTCTACAAGTGACCAAAATGTGTGAATATTGGCCTGATAAAACATCTTGTTTTTGATGTTACTGGCAATAATAATTTTAAAAATTAAATAGCAATCTACACAGTGTGAACACAGTGTCTTATCCTAAGGAAGGGGCGTAGTTTATTTTCATGACAATGATAACCAAGTTTGGATAAACACAGCATTCTGCAAAGACTGAACACATTGTCTAACCATATCATACAGAAACGGAGTTGACTGATTCGATGCCATTGTTAAGCATGTGTACCATTAAGCTTACTTCTTTCTAACAACAGAGTAGTTTCTTAATTAAATGTAGATGTTTTACACGCCTATATCGTGAAATGTTACCTCCTCCTCCTCCTCCTCCTCCTCCTCCTCCTCCTCCTCCTCCTCCTCCTCCTCCTCCTCCTCCTCCTCCTCCTCCTCCCCCTTCTTCTTCTTCTTCTTCTTCTTCTTCTTCTTCTTCTTCTTCTTCTTCTTCTTCTTCTTCTTCTTCTTCTTCTTCTTCTTCTTCTTCTTCTTCTTCTTCTTCTTCTTCTTCTTCTTCTTCTTCTTCTTCTTCTTCTTCTTCTTCTTCTTCTTCTTCTTCTTCTTCTTCTTCTTTATTATTTTAGCTATTTGTATTAACATTGCCATTGTATCATATCCTCATTATCATTTATCATTATTGCCATTAGGGTCTGTTATTATCATTTTTTATTGATATTCATAATTTTACTATCATTATTATGATGGTGAATATTATAAATATATATATTTGTGAAAGTCCGTCACTTTGGTCGCTTAAAACTTCTGGACCACTTATCTTTCCTATTTGAAAGAAATTAACGGCGGTTCAGAATCATTTAAAGGGTGCACAGATATATTAAGGAGTCAGAAGTCACTGTAGTTTAATTTTCAGTTTTTTTATTCGTTTTGTTTAGATTCAATTTTGGGGAAAGTCCGTCTTCTAAGACGCCACTGTAAACATGTGAAGCTTCCATTCACGGGTGTGCCCACTGATTTCACAACGACTTGACGATCGATTCTTCTGAGTCCGTTCATCGAACGGGTACCCAGCTAGTATAATGATAATCATCCTTATAAATTATTTTTGTTATCGTCATGTCATTATATATTATAATCATCATCATTACGCATATGTATATTTTTGTATACATAGTATGAAGGTTAAATATATTGCATATGAACCCATGCAAATAAGAAATTTAGAGTACGATTATGTCTTCAGTCAAAAAAGAAATGTGGATCAATCAATACCTCTCCCACGACCTTAGTTTTTTAAAATTGTTGTTGCAGGTCCGATAAGGTCCACTTCTACAAAATCGGCATTGCCGGGGAGACGACGGTCAACAAAAGGGGCTGGAAGTTGTACACTTTTTCGGACATCCGCAAACTCTTGGGTCACGTGAATGCCACAATCGACGTGGTGAAGATAGACGTGGAGGGTGCCGAGTGGAGCAGTTTGAAGCACATGGTGGCGAGCGGGGAGATAAAGCACTTTAAGCAGCTGCTCTTAGAATATCACGTTGCTACTATTAAGAGGGACTCCCTCGAGGTAGTTCAGAGTGTGGAGAGTCAAGGTTACAAAAAGTTTTATACTCATAAAAATCCTGCGTGTCCTGTTTGGATACCAAAGTTCCCATCAGTTCGCACGAAGTGTTACGAGGTGCATTACCTAAGAAGACCATAGAAGTAAAAATAAATCCCTACCAACCCCAACCCCAACCCAACCCTACTTAGAATTCTGTAGACCGGTATTCTACTCTTACGAGCCTCCAAGGGCTTAGATTTACAAATGTGTACAGAATATGTGACACGACGCGGTGGAATCAGGTGCTCGTCTGGTTTGGAGTATATGGAGTTAATAATCAATTCTTAAAGCTGATTTATTTTAATTTGTTATAATGAAAAAAGTACCCCTCTATCTTTATAAGAAGTCGAGATATTTGAGAATGAGGGAGATGGAGAGTCGCATTATGTCCTAGATAAAAGTCGAGTGAAAATAACAGCCCAAAATTAGTGACTTCTAAATCTTGAGTGTCTTTAGAAACTGCAAAGTTAAATTTTTTTGTTGCCTGCCATCAACTTTTTTTTTCTCCAGTAAAACCCACACATAAGTGTATTTTTCAATAAGACTAAAAGGTACTGAGCCAGAAATACACAAAGTCTATACAATTTGCCTAACTGTAGGGGAAAAAATGTCGGTCTCTTCGATTCCCTTATTTTGACGAGAGCCTGATTTCACCACGATGAAACACATGATTTATTGCAGATAAACAAAAGCTCAGTAAATTTCTCTTTTTTTTTTTATCTCTCTATTGGTATAAAAGTCAGTAATGAATATTCTAGACTCTTCCGTTGGTGACACAGACTAACAAAATTCAACTTTTTTCTGCCACCGGGAATAATAATATACTGTTTAGGTCTGAACGAGCACGTCAAGTCATATGGTATTTAAAAGGACCGTTTTTCCTTATTGAACACTCAAAATAGGAATGGCAATGAGAAGACAAGTAAAACACTGATCATTTTCATTGTTATGCTAGAAATTTCGTCGCCTATCACACGAAAGCGCGTATTCCAGATGTTGGCAGTTTTGAGTTGTTACTACTAGTAGATAGCGCTGCCTCAGATCTATGTTCACACGAAACGGCGTATCCATAGCTTTAAAATAGCAGCACTAGCAGTAAAAAAAATTGGCGTACGCTAACACTCAGCCACATAGAGAGAAAAAGGTTCAATCACATGTTGTATAACATTAATTCCCAACGAGCCTGGGTTAAACTTGCCTTTTTATCTGCTGTCCATCCCATTATTAGTATCTTTGTGAATACTTTTGGCTGGTGATGTGGTGTGGTTTGCTCCTTCTTTCCTGTTAAAAAATCTCTCTTCCGGCTCTCTCCTCCTCCTTTTTTTTGGGGTGGTTACTCTCTTGTAACGCTTCTAATCTTGGGCACTTCTATGGCCTTATTGTATTGTGTTGCAAGTGCCGTAAAACTCTCTTTCTAGAACTAAATTCGTGAATACTTTGATCGTGGTCTCACATACATGTCAATAGATAGGAGGGGGGGGGGGGGGGGA